GAGTACTGGAGTGGGTGCCATTGCCTTCTCCTTCAGATACTCTAAATGCTCCAAAAATTTAAATAGGAGGAAGGGGAGATTAATATGTTTGAGTCAGGGACTGTTATCTCAGATAGAGTAGTCACAGAATTTTCTCTGAGCAGAGACCTAAAAACAAAGTGAGGCAGCAATTCACAGGGAAGTCTGGGGGAGGAGTAGGCCAGACAGAGGTAACAGCAAGTGCAAAGGCCCTGGGGAAGTACTTGGCATGTTTGCAGAGCAGCACGGAGGCACTGTACAGTGAGCAAGGAGGAGTGTGACAGTAGTGAACCCCTGGGAAGCCAGGGGCCATATCAGCTGGGAATAAATGAACTGAAATTCTGCCTTTTATTCTGAATGAGGCAGGAAGCCATTAGGACTAGGGCAAAGGGATGTCATGACCTAATCTAAGTTTGGAAAAAGATATTTTGACTGCTGTGTGGGGGAGACCATCACATGGATGGAAGCCAGGAAAGCAGTTTGAGAACAACAGCAGTAATCCAAGTACTAAGGATGAGATGGTGAGATATAGAATGTATTTTAAAAGAGTAGTCAAGAGGATCTACTGATTGGTTGGTTATTGGGGGGGGGGGGGTGGGGGTTTGGTGGGGGAATGAGAAAAAGATTGGTGTCAAGAACAACTCCAGGAATTTTGATCAAAGCAATTGGTGGAATGGAGTTGTCATTTATCAAGATATAGGGCTGGCTGCTTATGTAAGTAGCAGATTTGGGAAGGATAACCTATGAGCTCAGTTTTGAACATGTTAAAATTGAGATATCTGTTAAATGTGTTACGTAGAGACATTAAGAAGGCAGTTGCATTTATCAGTTTGGATGAAGTCTCACCAACTAACTGGGAAGTTGGTCTAGGCTGGAAATAACTATTTTGGAAAAGTCAGGTGGCACAGTGGTGAAGAATCTGCCTGCCAGTGCAGGAGAAGCAGGTTTGATCCCTGGGTCGGAAAGATCTGCTGGAGTAGGAAATGACAACCCGCTCCAGTGTTCTTGCCTGGAAAATACCATGAACAGAGGAGCCTGGAGAGCTACAGTCCATGACATCACAAAGAGTCAGACAGGGCTGAGCAACTAAGCATGCACACACACACAGAGTATATTGATGCTTTATAAAGTTAGGAGGCTGGGTAAAAAACCCTAGCTCTGGGTTAGCCTAAAGAGCAAATAGGTACAAGGTTTGAGCCCTCAGACATTTGAGAAAATACAAGAAAATACAGAAGAGGGGGGAAAGCAGTGGTAGGTGGGGAAGGAAGTGAACCAAGAAGAGAGTGGTGTCTCAGAAGCCCCCTGATTTGGAAAGGGTTGCCAGAAAGCCCTGGGGGCCCTATTGAAGTTCATGGTCATGAAGTTAAAGTGAGACTTGTTTCGAAATAGTTGGAAAGAGGCCCAGCCACATTTAACTGCTGGGGTATAGACATTGAGAAGTAGAGGGTTGGATTTAACCAGGATCAGATTTTTCCAGGAGTCTGTAATTGAGGGTGGGAATTTGGGGATGAGGGAGATGAGACTATATAAAAGGAAGTGATTATAAGGATGGGCCATGTACTCTATACTTCGTAAAAAGAAAAAAAAAGGGAAAGGATGAAATGGTGGGTAAGTGAATTTAGAGGACCAACGAATTATGGACTATTAATATCATTCCTCTGGATCCTAATAAGATCGTGCAGCTCTAACTGTATCATTAATGATCATTCATGGATTCTGTGCCTGTGTGAAAAGACTAGTTCCTAAAGAATGGGAAATTAACAGAAAACTGAAAAGTAATATAGAAGTTTAATAATTACATTTGAAATGTCTTGAATTCATACAGTGCTCTGGTGTTTTTGAAATCCCTTTCAAATGTCTTTTTCTCATTTTGTATTCTCAAGTATATCATGGCCAGAGAAGACAGATTTATCAAAGTCTCAGAAGAACCTTAGAAGTTTTAAAGGAATAAAGTCACTATTAGCTTGTTTCTTAGATTCTAAAGATATTTAAAATATACACATGTCTTCTGAAATAGGCTTATAATATTGAGTGTTTAGCTGTGTGCAGTTTTGTATATAAATTATTTGTATAATTTATATTATTTAAATCTCCTGTTAAAATTGATAAATTGGTTTTCAAATGAGACCCAGAAACAAATAGTTAATGTCATATAAATGCATATTGTTTATTACATTCAGAAAACTAGTAGGTAACAGTGAGTTTCTAGTATGGATTGGGTCTTCATTGAACTTGAATGTCTGCAGACATGTTTTTTTTTTTTTTTTTTGTGGATAAAACTTTGTTAGGTGAAGCCCGGCATGTAGTGTTGGCTGCTGGGCAGATCTTACCCGGAAAGGAACCATGTTATGAAACTTCTCCAGCCCTGTTCTCTCCCTTTCCTCCATGTCGTGTCTTTGCACACTATTCTTCTCACTGGAAATGCTCATTTCCTCATTCTTTTTTTAAAAAATAAACCTTACCTGCCCTCATAGAAGATTCAATTTTAAGTTAGTTTTTCCTAATTTTCCTCAAGTTAAATGAATTTCTCCTTATATCACTGTGTATCTGTGTGTGTGTGTTGTTGAGTGTGTGTGTGTGTTTTAGCACATCCTCTTGTTTTTTTTTCTAGTTATCTGAGCACATTTGTCTTACCTTAAACAAGCATCTTGACAACAAGAACTTCCTGTGAGCTAGGCCTACCCCCACATTTTGAGAAGACAAAACAGATTCCCCACCAAGTTACTTCTCACACTTTCTTTCTATCTGTGTGTGGTTCTGAAAAGTTCCTAGGATGAATTTATGCACAAAAAAGATTCTCTTGAAAAAAAATCTGGATTAAGTACATTAGTGCACGGAGGACTAACCTAGGGCAGGGTTAAGTGAAGAACAGAAACCACGGAGGGGCATCTTCTACAGAGGGAGAGCCTGAGGGCCCTGAGTACCACACTCCTCGGGGCATCCTGGAGCTCTGAAGAAGTCCTTGGGAAGCATTAGATTTGAGATGTGGGTCTGCTCCCTGAAAGTACTGCTCTGGGCTGGCTCCAGGCCAGAAAGATTCTCCCTGTTCCAAACCCTCAACTAAGGAAAGTTGGAGAAACCCTTTGTGTTTCTGAGGGAGCAGAAATGCCAGCTTAAACTAGGTCGAACTCAGGGAGATATAATGTATGGGGGTGAAATGCTTGTCTTCTAAGAGGATTTAATTTGGTGATATGTAATTTTATTATTTTTCTTGTTGCTGATATTATTATTAATTTGTCATGACTTAGCCTATTTGCAGGGTTATCTTGCCCCACCTCCCATATGGCCTCCTTCCAGAACTCTCCTTTCTCTGGTTCCTGCAAATCCCCACTCCCACCCTGCATGCCCAGTACACCAGCACACAGGGACCAAGCTGGCCTGCAGTAAACAGAGGGCCTTGCCTTCGGGAACCTCCGGTTCTTCCTGCCTTTCTCTTAAGCATCTGGGGTCTCCAAGGTGCTAGCCCTATTCCTGGGTATCTCCCAGTCTTCACTATTTCCAGTGTCCTCCGCTTCTATCCAAATTTGATTTCATTCTGTTGGGACCTTGCCCTCAACTCTCTGCTGTAATAACTGGCTGTCATATAAATGAACCCATACCATTTTGATGAGTGGCAGATGTTAATTTAATATAAAAAAGCCAATCACCCTTCTTCCTTATTCATTTTGATGACACTCATTTTTACTCTGGTCATCAAATGCAGTGCTACCAAAACTTTATTCTAAGGCAAAAGAGTAATTCAGCACTTTACCTTGTACCTAACACATAGACCAACTGAATAAATTATTTATTGCATGAATGAATGGGCTCAACTAGTGACTGACTGGCTTCCTGGTGGGATAAAATAAAAGCCAGACATTATTGAGAGGAATATTGTTAGACAAACAAGGTTTGCAGTTTCATAGTTGACCTTCCTTATAATTGTGAGCTAGGTCTACCCCCATATTTTGAGAAGACAAAACAGATTCCCCACCAAGTTACTTCTCACACTTTCTTTCTATCTGATTTAATAACTACCGCACAAGGAGAGGCTTTGTTTTTTTTTTTTTCTTTTTAAAAAGTTGAATTAGATTAATGACTTGCTTTGGTTGAGATACAAGAGAGAGACAACTGAGTCACTCTCCACCCTTCCCCACAATTCCTTGTGTATTATCACCATCACCCCTAAACCTCAGAGGAACTTCCAACACTTTGGGAAAGCAAAAAGAAGTCTAAGGGTACAGCAGCTGCCTGACTCTTATTTTGGAGTAGACTTAGCTTGAAACTTGCAAGAAAAGGAAATCTTAAGCACACTCCTTTCATACCAATAATCTCCCTGTTTTTTATATTCTCTCTCACACATAAGCAAACATGCCGATTTGGCCTGATGAAAGGATTACAAAAAGCCATATTCTCTTCTTACCAATTGGAAGGAACAAAAATAAACAATTGTTCAATTGTCTAGACTCGTATTAAATTTGCCATGATTTCTTTTATGAAACTGTGACTGAGTTACTATCTTGACATAAATGATAGTAAGGCTCTAAACAAAGGAGTCATGAGTGATGGCAGACTCAGGCCTTAGATGCTGACAGTCTTTCCTTCTTCTTTTTTAAGACTGCAAATATGAAGAGAAAATGAAGGAAGTGATGCAAAGATAGTGAAGTTTTTAATGTGCAAAAATTAGACTTTTGCATCAGTGGAAACAAGCCTTCCCAAATTTTAAAAGGTGTACACCTGCAAATGCTTCTGTTCATATTGTCTGCCAAGAATTAACACCCTCTGATCATGTTCTGAATGTCCAACCTTTCTCTCCTGCTTGAAACAAATGCTACTTCCATGCCAGTCACAACCACCTGTGGTCACCATGTGTCATGTGGAATCACATACATGTAATGCCATTCCGCCATCTTTTCTCCACTTCTCATTTTATCTGAGCATGTAGTGTGCTGATACTCTGCAACTGTATACACTCTGTATACATTTCTGTTCTTCCTTGCAAGATTGTGAATGCTTCGGCCACTCCAATCGATGCAGTTATATCGATCTGCTAAATACAGTCATTTGCGTGAGCTGTAAACACAACACTAGAGGGCAGCACTGTGAGTTATGCAGGCTGGGCTACTTCAGAAATGCTTCTGCACAGCTGGACGATGAGAATGTGTGCATAGGTCAGTTCCATTATAATTTCAGCTATTGTTCTGTGCCTTTCAAGCGATGGGGAGCTATTTAAGGTGGAGAGGCTGGTGATTTGCACCACAACTGAGCCAGAATGAACTTTCTTAATGGAGAAAACCTCCTTGTGTTGGACTTGAAATTCACTTGTGCTGGTTGAAATCATAGTTGGGGGATGTATTTTGAATTCTTTTTTTATTGTTGCTTTAAAGATGATGAGCTGAAAAATCATGTTTAAGAGGTAGAGAATTTTCTTTTTCTTTTTCTTCTTCTTTGTTTTTGCATGAAATCTTAAAACCTGGTCATTTCAACCTGATCTTAAAGTCTTAAAGTTGTACATTCTACTTTCAAAATGTAAACTCACTATAAGATTTTTAATTATAGATATGAGAAACTAAGACACAAGCTTTTGTAAATAATTGGTAATCAACAAGTATTGATTTAAAATACTGCCATTTTGGAATTGAAAGCCACTAACAATTGGTAATGCAGAAGTTTGCTTGACTTTTCCATCCATAGTAATGAAATTCCATTTATTGAATTTTCCTAAAGCCCAAAAGGAGAAGCAATTTTTCAAACCTGCTCAAGGCAATTAATTCTCTTAGTTTCCAAAGTACATGAGCCCTGGAAGACCAGGGCCACAGGGTTCCCTTGAGCATTCCTTCTACCCTGTATGATTACTGATCATGTCAACTCCAGAGAATCAGGTGCCCTTCCCTTCCAAAAAAGCTTCTCCTACCTTTTACATTGAGGAACCTATCTTTAAGAAAGGGTGCTGATGGAAAAATAAGAAATAAGAAATGGAATTTCACTTCATAATGTACTTTGGAGAAATGCATATGTTCAAAATAGTGAAGGGTAGATACGTATCTATTACCAGACAATGGGTAATATATAGGCAACCAATGTTAAAAGTAGATTTTTTCACATAGAGAGTAGATAGAATACACAAACCAAAAATGAAAGGTGGTCCTTTCATCAAAAAAGGCATCCAACCATTTTGTAATTCTAAAATCATTGTTTTCTGATTTGATTGTCAAGGTTCTATAGGTATTTGCCAAGTGTCACTTAAAATAGCTGGACAAGTTTTTTTCAGTTAAAATGGGTCAAGTTTTATAATACTGTTCATGTCTATAGTATGTTCTGTTTTTCAAAGTGCTTCCTTATTATTTGTGAATTAGTGGAGAAATCCCTGGACTTAGAGGCTGGAGAGCTGGGTTCAAGTCCCAGTTTGCTATTTAATAGCTGTGTGCCTTAGGTAAGTCATGGAGAACTGCTGGTCAAATTGGTGTCATATGGGATGCTCAGGAAACACTTGGTAAACTGTGAACGGACTTGCAATTTTTTTTAACTTAATCCTCATTAACAAAACTGTGGTAAGTATTCCATTGACAATTTCCCCTATTTTCTAGTTGAGAAAAGTAAGGCAGATTGACCCAAATCATATAGCTTTGTAAAGAGTTAGTTTCCTGACTTCAAAACTTGAACTCTCTCCCAACTACCGGGACACAATTAGCAAAGCTAAACTTGTCAGACTTTTACTTATGGTATGCTTTTAGGATGAGAGCAGCAATTCTACTATGAGTTTGTGAACAGAAGTTCAATTGCCTTTATAACATTTGGGTTACAAAGATTTGAGAATATTAATGAAAACCAAAAGGCACATAGCTGTCTGAATTTCAGATGCAGTTACATTTTGCTGAATGTCATTTGTAAAAATATATAAATGTCATACTATAAATATGGAAACAAGTGAAAAGGTAAAATAAATAGGAACACTGGGAACACAAGAATAATAAAAGTTTTTTCAAGATATAAAACATTACAATCAGGAGTAAATGTTTTACAATATCAATTTCATATTATTTTAAATAAATCAAATAAAAAGACCTTACAAGAAAAGATTTTATTTCATAAAATTTCTCACAGCAGGTAACTTAACAATATCCTGATATTTTTACTCAGAGTACTCTCTTCTAATGATGTCTTCCCCTTTTCCTATTCTAAAGTAATCTATGAACTACAAAATCTGCACTCCTATCAAGTTCTAAGAGGCATAGTTCTGTTATAAATCCATATTTGATTATACACAGACAAGAAACTAGCCATTCAGCTTTGTCTTTTAAATCATGTAAAATAGAGATGAGTGGAAAACTTAATATACACTATTCTGTTTATTTCTACTTAAAAAAGAGAAACGAAGAGCAATTGTTTTCTCCCTTTCTAGAAAGTTTGTTAATTAAAATTATAAAACTTGGGAAGATTTTATTTTACTGAGGTAAATATATCCCTATGCAGTATTTTATACTCTTCAAGTAAAGTCATCAGTAAATACAAATATGAGTATTTTTATATACTATTAAAATTAGCTACAGTATCCCCTTCACATACCCAAATTGTTTAAATTGTTACCCTTTTCCTAAGAAGTAAAACTGTTTTTAAAGACTGAACTGAAAATTTTGGTTAGCTTGTATATGCTACAGTCTCTTTTGTCTTTAGTCGCTATAAACATTCAACAGCTTCCTTAAAGACCTATAGATTCCACTTTTCCTGCTTGAGGGGCCAAGGGTAACTCAAGCCATGAGGCTGCCAGAGCACGAGGCTGAGGCTTGGCTTTCCTCTCTGAAGGCCATTGGAAGCCTGTGGCTCCATTACCAAGACTAGTTGCTCTTTTCTACATTCAAGTTCCCTAAAGGGCTTGCAGTAGGACTAAAGAATTAAATTTGAGAAGATACACCACAAGTAATTGAGAGTTAATTTTAATACCATTTTGTATAGAAAGCACTAATGAAAATAAATGGATATTTACCCAATTCACTTTCGCAGACTTAGGCACTAATCTCTGCAAATTTGAACTTCATCTAAGCCACTTTAAAAGTTAAGGGGGGAAAAAGGCATTTGCCATTTATTTGACAATTGGCAATGAAATCCACCACCCTGGTTTTGAGGGAACAGCACCTATCTTTGACAAAATAACGACTGTGTTGAAATAGATGTCTTAAACTATTTGCATCATTTTATATTATGGTAAATATAAAGTGCAGGCTATTCCATGTTGTCACAGTAATCACTGCTTTATGATTCTTGGCAGATTTACCCATTTTCACACAAATTCCAAGTCAGCCATTTTTCCAAAGACGCATGTGTGATGCAGCAGTTCCATGAAAATGGCATCCATGAAAATGGAAAATGCTTCCGTTTCATATAAACTTGAGCATTTAAGCAGGAAGCTGGATATGTGGCTTCTGACCTTGGGTAATCACTGCTAATAATCTCTGATAAAAAGCTTGACCTCAGAATGAAATGCAGGGCTCAGCATTTGCTACTAAACATATCTTCAATTATGATGTATTATTGTTTTCATTCCCTTGGAAACCCAAGGTAATCAGAGGCACATTCTATAAAACAGAGCAAACCCAACACACTTCTAATACCCATAAATCAATTGTAGTATAACTTTTTAATCAGACTTCCAAAAGTATTTCATGTTTTTTAGTTTTGTAGTCCTGCATATTCTTCCTAGTTTCAAGGAATAAAATATAATTCTCCAAGGCTATCCTCATCACTACAACACCTACCATTGGCTTGAGTTCCAGAAATGATATTTTTAAACTAAATTACTTTGTATGTAATGTGGAGAGTAGACCCCACCTCTCTTTGTCACTAAGTTTCGTGACCGAGTACATTACTCTTACCACCTTTCATATGGCAACCACTGAGATGTGCTGTGGTTTAGATGTTCCACATTTTTTAAAATTTTGTTTGCATTTCTTACATCTCAAACCTTATATTAATGAGTTGTTACAGGCTGATTGACTAACATAGTATGTGAATTCATATTGACCAGGTGTGACCCTACTCCCTGTCTTACAAAATGCTGGTGGTTAATTGTCAACTTATATACTTTAAATAGTAAGAAACATATTATAGTAGTTTTGCTATAGGTATGTATGTGTGTATATATATATATATATATATGTGTATGTATGTTTTATATATATATGTCATATATATATAAACATTTTAAAAGTCACAAAAAAATTTCTGTCTAAAAAAATTTTAAACAGCTGGCATACATACATGGGCTCCCCTTGTAGCTCAGTTGTTAAAGAATTTGCCTGCAATTCAGGAGAGCTGGGTTCGATTCCTGGGTCAGGAAGATCCCCTGGAAAAGGAAATGGCAACCCATTCCAGTATTCTAGTCTGGAAAATCCCATGGACAGAGGAGCCTGGCAGGCTACAGTCCATGCGGTCGCAAGAATCAGACACAATTTAGCAACTAAACCACCACCACCACCATACAGACACACATTAAAATAGAAAATGCCAATTTAAAATAAAACTCCAGTTATTAAATCAAGCCAGACAAGAAGAGAGCAATTTAGACTTTATTTGGTTTTAGTTTTACTTGTGTATGTCACTCTTAGCCTCACAAATGTTTATATCTTAAGAATGCTGAACTTCAAAATTCCCTTAACATGAAATAAATAATGATTCCAAGGTACGCCACAGTCTTTGAAGAAATTATCTGATTAGTTCCTATGACAGAACCACACCTCTAGACCTATCTATGTAACAGTAAACCCTTAATCTCCATTGCCAACTTAAGACACTAAATTTAAAGATACTAAACTAAAATTCTCAGGGTTTCTTGTAGTTGGCTGCTTGGTTAGTTGCTTGGTGTGATTTTATTTGATTTTTAACATGAAAATCTCTTAATGATACCATTTTAAAATAAGGGAAATCAAGAGACAGAGGGGCATAATAACTTGTCCAGCATTATACAGTGGGATTACAAAAAAAGAAATTTCAGCTTACAAATTCCAAAAGCTGCAAACTAACTGCTGTTAGCTTTCTTAGCTAATGGAAGCCTAAGGAATTCTCATTTCTAATTCATCCTTTAAGCAAAGCAGAGCTTCAGAAGTAAAAATATCCTGCATAATACTATGTGAGGAATCCAGAAATTATTCTATTTATTTTTTATTACACAAAGTTATATTTTTCTGTCCACAGACATTATAATGATATGAGTCTCAAAATGTGCATATGTTGAAATTTATTTAGGATTACAAAATTCATTTTTATTCCATGATTGTTAATCTAGGTTACATAAAACTATACTAACATGCCTAGCAGATACAATATCTAAAGGCTGATTGCAACACAGTATGAATATATATATAATGCACCATCCCAAATCATAAAGTAAAACCATCTTTGGATGAATAAAGTGCATTCATATTGCACTTTAACAATGTTCAGCAGTTCTCAAATATTGAGTGTAACAGATAGGCTCGTTTGAATAATTTAAAACAGATTTTACACTGATGGCATATTGATTCATCCTTGATACACAAACTTCTCATGGCATTCATTAAACCATCTAAAAATGCCCTTAACAAACGGAACCTCCATTATAATCTATTAGCAGTGAAGAGCATGATGTCTTATTTCCTTAGAAGTTTTCAGCTGATTTCCTCCCATAACATAAAAATGATATCATGGAAGACTGAGCAAATAAATAAATGGGCCTGAAATAGCCATATTTTCCAAAGCATTTCATTAGTGGGCATCTTTAAGTAATCCGTTGAAGTAAGTGACACTCCTGTATTGATAACTTACAAGCCATGTCTCCAGCCTGTGTGTTGTCTTGTTTCTACAGAGTGTTATTGTAACCCTTTGGGCTCAGTCCATGATCGTTGTAATGGCTCAGGATTTTGTGAGTGTAAGACTGGAACGACAGGGCCTAAGTGTGATGAGTGCCTGCCGGGAAATTCCTGGCACTACGGCTGTCAACGTAAGTAACTCTGGGAGCTGCCCTCTGCCTGCTGCAGCATGGCTGATTCTGCTTGTCGAGGCTGGTGCGTGCAGCTTCTCAGAGCAGAAAAAGACCCAAACTGCTGACAAGCTTTAAAAACTACTTAATGCCCCAGCCCACATATAGGAGAGCGAGCAATCCATCAGCTGTCCAGCGGGCTCCTTTGAAGCCCATCTTCGTTTCTTCTGATGGTTGGAGCAACTTATATTGAAATATTGTACGCAGATCCGTGTACCTGGCCAGACCATAAATTAAGTGGCACAATAGGGACCCAGCTTAGAAATCCTTACCGCAGAATGAAGGGTGATGTGTATGTGGTTAATATATATCTTGAACTACCCTGGAGCTCCAGAGTTCATAAATTAAATGGTATCTACATAACTTATTATCACCCTTGTATCATACCTATCACTGCCTCTGAACCAAAAACCTAAAGGTAATAAATCTAAGGGATATTTAAATGCCAGGATAAAATAAATGATGAAAATCAATGTTGATTTTAAGCCTCTGAGGTTAGGCACCATGCAGTGAGCTTTACACAGATGCCATTTGGTTCAACCTCATTTCTCTGAGGATTATCAGACCTTAAAAGCTTGTCAAGGCAGGTGGCATGTCGGTGTATTCCGGGAACAGAAATTTAAAAATCTGAGCAGAAGCTTCCTTCTGTCATTCACAACCTTTTCTGCTTTTTAATTCTGCACTAGCTTTCCATTCTATCTATACACAGTCAGCTTACTAATATTAAAGAGCCACCAGGCAGAGCCTCTGGAGAGTGCAGCCCAATAGAAAATCATGCAAGCCATGCATGTAACTTGAAATATTTTGTTATCCACATTTAAAAAGTAAGAATAAATATAGGTGGATTTTAACAATTTATTTTATCCAAAAAAACCCTGAAATATTATCATTTCAACATAGAATTAATGTTATGTTATTAAGGATATATTTCACTTTTTTCAGAGCCTTTGAAATCAGATGTTTACTGCTTATAGAACATCTCAATTAGAACTAGCCATATTGCAAGGCTTAATAGACACATATGTCTACCATATTGGACAGCACAGCTCTAGAGGGTTTTTGCTTAGTTTTCACTTGAAAAAAAAAAAAAATGTCAGCATGCAGGAACTATCTAAAGCCAGTTTCTACCAGGGGTGAACAGAATATTTTACCTGCTACTTATGAAATGTATAGTTATCTGGAGGCTACACTTCTGCATATATAAAGCCAAAGTGAAATCTGTCACCATACTAATGCCATGGGCATCAGTGAACTGTGGTGAGAACTGGGAACTTTGACTTTGAGCAAGTCAAGGTTAGGATGGGATCTAGAAACTGGAGAGTGAGCATCTCTCCCCATGCTGGAGAGTCATTAAAAGAGTCAAATAGTGTCAGAAGTCAGGCATCACTTCTGTACCTAAGCTCTGGATACGGTCATTGTTTGAAAGTTATACACCCTGTAGGTTCCCAGGAAGCATTTTAAGGAAAACAATATGAGGATCCAGGACTGGGGAGATAGTTGTCATCTAGATATAGAGGCCCATAGAAGGCCAGCAGTCAGGAGGAAAGAGAGACAGAGGAGGGACCAGCATCAAGACTCAAAGCATAGGGAATGAGGAGACTTTATAATGAAGACACACCTTTCCAAAGGGAAAGTCTCATGTTAGCTACCTGATGCAGCAGGACCTAATGAAGGAGTTCCTGAAGTGTAATCAGGGAAAGACATTGGAGAAGTAAGTAAACGAATCCAGCCTTAGAAGAAATGTATGCCCAAAAAAGGCTTAAATTGATTTTTCTGTGTTAATTTCTGGAGTATTATAAAAAGATATAATGTCATCAGATTTTTTTCTTCTGGAATTAGAAGACTGGATTTAGGCATGGACGTACCACATATGTGCCATATAATGTGCAAAATGCTCTGTGCCTCAACTCCAGCACCTTATTACATCCTAGTTAAGTAGATCAGTGAGATTATAGGCGTAAATACTTTACCCTCATGAGTATTTCTTGAATACCTACTATAAATTAGGTATTGAACTAGCAGTCGAGGCTAAAGGATAAAGAGAGATAGCTGCTTTGGACATGTGGATGTGAAGTTCACAATCTGGAGTGGGAAGCTGACATGCACCCAACAGTTAGGAGGTAATCAGACCAAGTGCTATGGACATGCTTTTAGGGAAGCCCAGGTGGGGAGTAAGGCATCCTAGAGAGAAAGACATTTTGAGTCTTTAAGTATTAAGAAAAGCTTTCCTGGATGGAACTTCTTGGGCAAAATGTACATGAGCTGACATGCTCTGCTTCAGAAACATCAAAAGGTATTGATATGATTAGAGGGTAAGGAGTATGCATATTTTATGTGTGTTGTTTGTGTTGGGATGGGAGTAAAATGTTGAAAAAGCAACCATAGACCAGATCATGAATGCCAAGCTAAGAAGTTTTATCTCATCAGGGAAGAGAAGTGAGGACCTTCCTACAGGGGTGATATGGGATCCACCATACAGTTTCAAGCAGAGGAGAGGATAAGATTCTGCTTTAGGAAGATTATTCTGACTGCTCTGTAAAGGAAGGGCTGAGACATGGTGAGACTGGATTTACTATATAAATTTAACAGACTTCGGATACACCTTTGAGCACACAATAATTTTATCTCAGTCTGAAATCTTTTCTTCCCTCAACCCAGCTACACAGGGCTGATACTCTGTGTTAAAATATAGAAATTCTTTTGCCAGTTGGTAAATGGCTATTGCATTGAGACCTAAGTGCACCCCTGGAATCTCTTAGATATCCTCAAAATCTAACAGGATAATACTTGTCAAAGTGGTGTGCGTTCAGCACCTGCTCCAATACTAGAGCAGGTATCCATAACTAATTAGTTAGTGCCTGTAGGCTGATAGGTATTTTTCATATCATTCCTATGTCTGCATATACATGAATGCATTCAAAAAATGCCCCTCAAGTCAGTCTGTTTTGCTCTCTTCCCTTCCCAGCCACCCCACATGCGCGCGCACATGCTCCTATTTGCCCTCAGCTGGACCCACCCTTGGGTTGGCCACATTATTAGCGGCAGTGATAGTGACCTGGCAATGAGAAACCAAGGAAAGAAAAGCATAGTGTTCAAATAGGGCTGAGAGTGGCATTGGCAGCAAGGAGCAGGAATTAGGTGCACATTTAGGGAGTCAGGACCAGGGAGGAGCTGTCGTATCAGGACAGAGTCCAAGGGATCCAGACACAGGGTCCCAGTCTCCCAGAGGGCTGACAAGAGGAGCAGTGTGGAACTGCAGCCCCACAGCACTTGTGCTTGGGAATAGAAAATAAAGAGATTCAGTTCCTGACACCATTGCTTCCATCCATGAATAGAACCAAATGAGTACACACTTCGGCTCTGGAGTCATACAGATCCAGGTTTGAATCCCATCTCCATGCCTTACTACCCACAGGACTTAGCAGAAAGTCCTTGGACTCCCTAAACTTAATTTTTCATCTAAAAATTGTGATAAAACTAGAACCTAACATGTATAGAAAATAATGAATGTGGAGCTCATGGTACATAGGAAGATCTCAACTATTATTAGTTCCAGGTACAAGTTGATGTGTCAAAGAACTAGGTAAGAATCCATGGTTTTTTGTGTTTGTTTTTTTTTTTAAAAAAAGAATCCATGTTTAACGCTAATTGTAGAGTGATAGTGCAGACAGTGTAATAAGAATGGCCACTATTGAGTATCAAATTGTTGACCTAGGAGATTCTAAAAATCCCTGCCCAGACACAAGACTAATTCAAGTGATTGAAACAAAGGTGACCCCTAAAGTAATTGTTTGTCTTCAGCTGGGGAAATTAAGAACTCCAGGCTCATTAGTGAACTTTCTGCCTGAGGGGTCCACTGGTTGTATGCACCATAAATGTAAACTGGTCTCTCTGACAAAAGGGGAAGCTCTTGAAAACCACCAGAATGAATGGACATCAGGCAGCTCGGAACGCATGGTTCAGGAAAGAGTGCAGAAATAAAAAGATTTCAAGGAGGATGGGCAGAATCAAAATTAGTGTTAAGGTTACTCCACAGAAGAATAAGATTGAGGAGAAATTCTTTTTTAATGCACCCTTTTGAAATCCAAGAAGAGGTATGAGCCACATCCCAGAGAATAAAGATGAACCTTCTAAAGAAAAAGTAACATTTCATGTTTCACATGAAATGTAGTTGGTTAAGATGTGGTAGAAAATAAGGAAATACTTGTTAAGGGTGCCAAGAAGATGAAATGGAAATACCCACACATAGAACCAGTGGGGCTGATGAAGAGATGTGTTGTCTTCCTGAAGAATGTATAAGCTACATTGGAATATCAGACCATATTAAAGCCACCAATTTCCCCACATTGTTACCTAATTTATGTGGATATTAATGGTGCTTTCAGAAGAACTTACAGTGTGAATATTTGGATTAAAGTTAAAATATTTTGTGACATAGCTAAATGTTAAGATTTTGGAAGATAAGATATAGGAAATCAAGAACTAAGCACCCATAGCAAGGGGAAAGCTGAGAGTCAGTTGCTGGGTCATGGCCTAAAGGATCACAGTATGTGTTCTTGGAAGGGATCAGTACCTATATTACCAAGAGCAAGAAAACATGTGTTTAGTAGGGAGCTCAATGGTCTGATCAAGAAGAGTTTCTAATTAAATTTGATCAGATTATAGTAAAAATGCTCTTGTAAAACTGTAACACCGGAAATTGTGGCAAACCAAAAAATTTTTTAAGAGGCAACAGTTATTCTTAGGAGAAAAATGAGAGAAAGTTTGGGGAACAGAATTCCATTACTTAGGTGTATGCCTTCCAGAGAATGCATAATACGTCTGCTTGTTTTTACTGCTGCTTGGAAAATTATCACCAATTACCACAAATTTAGTAGCTCAGAACAACACAAATTTGTTATCTTACAGGTCTGTATTTAGAAGCCAAACAAGAGTCTCCCTGGGCTAAGATCAAGGTGTTG